TGATGATTTTCAGTGATTGTGAATTTTTTATAGTTCCTGTCACCCTCGAAACTAACTGGTCAATACTTTAATAATTTATAATAATATAATAAAACAACATTTAATTATGATTATATGATGATAATATAATAATATATTATATCCTCATTCTTATCAGTAGCGGTGCGTAATATATTTCATACTGACTGATTTATCAAGTCTTTTTTATTCGTTTGCACACTCCTCAAATTTGACACAACATTTCGAGATTAATAGTTTATTCCCGGTAGACTCGTAGAACGAGCGAATATCGATTCTCGGATAGTTATATACTACAGCAGTACAGTTTAATTAACATACCTCGGCTGTGCATCCGTTGGTGGTGGTGTGCGTGCAAGGATTGGGTCCGCAATTGGTGCAGGTTACGATCTCGTTCGGTCCTGTCGTAGCTCCGGTCGGTGGACCACCCTCTCGCTTCTTTTTACCCTGCGACAGGGTCTCCGTAGAAGAAACTTATATTCTTACGACCTTTCGTTCAAACAACGATCCATCCTTCGACCAATTTTTCTATCGCTCTCCACTCCTCCCCCCCTCGTGATTCTACTACCTTTGTTCTTTTCTTTTCTCCTCATTCGTTTCGTTTCGCTTCGTTTCACGTAGAGCGCGGAGACGGCCGACATGTCGACGACGATCACGAATTGCGTCGTTCGAACAACGAGGAGGAAGGGAGAGACCTTCTCGTCGTTCGAGAGGACCACGAACGTTTGTTCATTGCTGACTAGAGATTAATGCTGATGCTGATCGAGCAACAGTGAGAATCGGAGCGTGAACGTTACTTCAGCCGATCGTCTTGGGGACGTGGAATTTCGTCGGCGACGGCCCAAGCTTTGTTCAATAGCTTCTGCCGATAATCGGTCGTTCGAGAGACGGCAAGCACAGGTAAGTTAAGCGTGATACAGGCTTTGATCGAGATGAACAAGCTTGCACGTAGAGGCGTGAGAAATATTCGGAAATATCGGCGCGAACGGACAAGTCGGCCGCCCACCGTTCGCCAAGTGTACATTCGCGCGACGATACGTCGTCCTTTAACCCTTTCGCTACGATAGCCCGCCAAAATTCACTGAATTTTGAACCCCCCCCCCCCCGCCAAAAGTGTACACATTGATCGGATTTTGAAATGGAATCTTTTTTGAATTGACAAGTTTTTCACAAGGGCCTAGAACCAATGGGTGTCCAATCTTTTTCAA